TCCCCCTGGGATCATTTCCCGCCTAAGCTGCTTAAGCCATAGTTAATCCCGTCTCTCATCTCGGCTTCTTCTTCCCTTTTCGATCATTCCGATTTTCTACAATTCTTTCGCCCCCCAAACCTCCCAAAGGGGCCACTCTCAATCTACAGTACAATCAATCGGTTCATGTCGCAGGCGATACCGGCATAGACCTCATTCCTGGCGTGTGCACCTTTCCAACACGATCCAACGCCCCTCCCTTCATTCGGCCTCAATCCTTTGATCTCGCACCCTCCCCGCTTCCGCCAAACTCACCACTTCCACCTTCCTTCCCTCCTCCCCCACTCCTCCCCCAAACGCACCGTTCGATAAATCCTCATGGCCTCAGCCGGGGGCTTGACTCGCCGGAGAGGTGGCGGTCGAGTCGCTGGCGCAGAAGACAATGATGACAGCAGAGTCTCTTCGCCCATATCGAGAAACGGTTCGTCGCTGGACAACCGCGTCCCCGAAACGTCATTCACCAGCGCCGAAAATGGTCATAAGATCGCGTTCGACCCCCGAGACATCAGCGAAACGGAGGAGCGCAGCAAACAGCCCAAGCTCACCCTGATGGAGGAGGTACTTCTACTGGGATTGAAAGATAAACAGGTTGGGCACCTTCCCTTGTGATCCTTATCTCGGCTTTTGTTTTTGTGGGGCGATCGATATACGGGGCGATGTCTCAATTGCTGACTGCGGCCTTTTCATGTCGGTATTGTAGGGCTACCTTTCGTTCTGGAATGAGAACATCTCCTACGCCCTGCGAGGGTGCATCGTGATCGAACTGGCCCTCCGCGGTCGCATCAGCATGCAGAAGGATTCCTCTCGACGACGTTTCCCCTTGGCCGATCGGGTGATCGAGGTGATCGATGATACGCTGACGGGCGAGGTCTTGCTGGACGAGGCGTTGAAAATAATGAAGTCGAGCGAGAAGATGAGTGTCAACTCCTGGATCGATCTACTGAGCGGTGCGTACAATGGAATTCTGGTATTCTCTGGGTTGACATCGACAAAACTGATCTGTTGGGACCAGGTGAAACATGGAACTTGATGAAGATTGGTTACCAGCTGAAGCAAGTGCGCGAACGTCTCGCCAAGGGCCTGGTCGACAAGGGCATCCTGCGCACCGAGAAACGCAACTTCCTCCTCTTCGATATGGCTACACACCCCGTGGCTGACGGCGGCGCCAAGGACGACCTCCATCGCCGTGTCCGCAACATCTGCAGCAGTCGCACCGTCATCCTTCCCGGAAACGCCTGGCTTCCCGAGGACGCTGAATTCCGCTACCTGCGGACGATCACCATGGTATGCGCCGCGTATGCGGCCAATGTTCTGGAGAATGCGCTGGTCACAATGAGCCACGAGGCTCGGGAACGGGCATTCGCGCAGGTGGATGAGTTGTTGGCCGAGTACTCGCAGTGGCCGTTCGGCCGGAGGGCAGGTGGCTCGCAAGCCATTGGAGCCAATCTGGCGCAGGCTATTAATGACGAGGTGAACAAGGCTAAGGACAAAGAGCTCCAGTTGGAGGTACGTACAGCCAGTCATTGAAAGTGAAACTGCCCCGATAGCTAACTTCCTTTTGACACAGATTGTGGCAGCATGTTTGAGCGTTTTCACTAGACTTGATTCTCTACTGTAACATGCTTTTTCTTATTCCCATATCCCCCCCGCCCTCTGCTATAGCCTCCCTCCCCAGCTCTATTTCATTTTCCAATCTCGTCTACTACTGATACTACCAACTTTCATCGTCCTTCTCTCTCCGAGAATGAGAAAAGCACATCAACATTGCCTCCACCTAGGGACTTGACCTCTTTTTTCTCCTTCCTTTTCATTCACAGTTTTGGCAGTACTATTACCGGCGTACCGGGTTGGATCTGTCGCAGAAGTGATATGACGTTTTTGTGTCTTGTGTGTCGAACCTGCCGTGCTGCGAAGCGGCGACCCATTGCATTGAAACCTTGTTTTTGTACGAGAGATTACTTCTTTACTGGTTTCGATCCTTCATTGAAATGGTTCTTTTCACGTACTTTGGCCGCATCGGATAATCCAGTCTATGACCAAAATCTGCTCGTGTATTGTCTCTCTTCTCCTTGTTCAGTCAGCGCCCATCATTTGCGAACTTCATCCCTGCCCCAGCACCTGTTGGTGACGGGTGACACAGCCTCGGTACAACACGCTCCGCCCGCTAGATAAAACGTTGACAGTCCCGAAACTTCCCCCCATGGAACCAGGTAGTTTATGCAGTGGACGGTCTCATGTTCAATCTCGAACCCAACCGTTGTGCTTGTGCATGGGTACCGTGACGCACACCATTTGTAGCAGAGTGCCCGATTATCTCCATACCTTTGATAGATCATATGTATAGAACAATATCGCGTACCCGGTCTAGAATCACCCCCCCCCTTCGTTTCGAGGCCATTCCTATGCTCGTCGAGGTCGATCGGGCGCAAGGTAAAAGGGTCAGTGGCACATCTGTATGGTGACTGGTAACTTCATAGCATAGACGCCGCCGAAGCCTTCCAATGAATACCGGCATACGGGCCCCCATTGTGCAATCCGAGATATACTTCGGTGAGTGGATCTGGGTGCTGGTCATGCGATGTACTGTGGTCTACGACTGCGTAGTTTTCCTATGTGGGTTGTTTCTAGAGGTGAGGCGAGCGCCGTCGGGTCCAACCGGTGATCATAACGCAAGCACCTGTGGCAAATGGCTGACTCTAAAGCTTTATCGTATATGTGGTGCGATAGTCCAGATGAATAATCTCTAAGTCAAAAGGATAAACAGGCTAATCAAGGCTGCAACGAACAGAGTAAAAATACAAGGCTAATGGAAAGAAATCATAATGGCATATCACAACGAGATGAAGGATTCAAAATCAGTTGACATGAATTACCATCATGCCGCCTCGCCGTCCACCGCCGGCGCCGGCCGCTCCCGAAGCCAGCATGTCGGCTCCTCTCTCGATATCGTGGATGCTTTCCACGCGGCCTCGGATTACACCATTCTCCACTAGCTGAGCGATGCGCTCCAGCGCCTCTCCATCTGGCCGCACCGCAACAAAGCGGCTGAAAACCCCGTTTTGGGGCGGTTCGGCGTTGCCCTCGGAATCCCGGTTCTGCGCAGGCGTGGAGTCTACAGCAGTCACGACGACACCATTGGACTTGACCACGCGCGGAGAGTGGGCTTGTTGGAACATTTGGCGGCCGGCACAGTCGATGACAAGGTCGACCGGGGCCGAGCGATTCTGGCGGAAGATGGCCCCTAGGTCATAATCTTGAGGCAAAGGAAGAGGGGCATAGAGGATCTCGTCGATCTCATACTCTTGTCGCAAGTAGTCCTCCTGATCCTGGGCATCACAAGTTGCACAGACCCAGGGCAGTTGGTTGGGGAACAGTGTCCGTGACCGGAGTAGCTGCAGTGCCTGGGCACCAACTTCGCTATTCCGCGAATTCGTGACCAGGACTCGTAATTGCCGTTTCATTTCCTTGACATCCTCGGGAACAAACCCGGCGTACGTGAAGAGAGACTGCCATGCTGTGAGAGCAGGCAGAGGGATTGCGGCTGCCTCCGCAGCACTGATATTGTTGGGTTTCAAAGCGATCTCATCCTCTGAAGCGACGACGTAATCGGCCGCGGCACCGTCACGGGTGTAGTTGACCAGGCCAAAAACAACGTCGCCAACCTTGAATTTCGGACCGCCTGGATTCCGGTAGTCATGCTTGGGCGTATCAGCAACTGTACCACAGAAGCAATGCAGAGGAATCTGAGGAATGGATTTCGACGGGTTCAAGATGGTAGCTAGTCGTAGTTCATCGTGGGAGAAAGCTGCGGTTTTAACCTTGATAAGGTATTCATTCCCAGAGGGCATTGGCGTCTGGAATCCAGAATCGAACTCGACGCAAGAGTCTACCCTAGGAGCATCCAGAGAGGTGAGGTCGGTGATAGCAGTTGACGCTGGTCGATAGTATAGTGCTCTCATCGTAGATGGCACTGTTCTGTGCTCATCCATTGTGGTCGATTTGCGGTTCTCTAGCTAAACGGTAACAGCCGGGTTGGAAAAGTTATGATGTGATGCAGCGGCGAAATATGCTCAATGAGGCCGACGCAAGCAACCAGCCAGCAGGATATAGGAGAATGAGGAGCAACACTATTCCGTGGTTTCGCCGAATGACAAGGCGTAGATCGAGCGGGGTTTGTTCCGATCGCAGATTTTAAGGATGGACCGCTGCAGCCACAAGCGCGGGCCTTGACGTTTGGGTGACATCCTACCATTGACGTAACCCCGAGTATAAACACGCTTATATCAGCAACCTTTTGTGATGAGTCAACATCTAATTCGAAGTTCATTCGATATCACTGCATCGTCCGATCATTCAGCATCGGTTGAGAATTCCTCGAGAGGCCCGAGCTTGTTATGGCTTATTCCCAACTCATCCACAAGGTGCTCTACCTCCGCAGGATCTTCGAAAACCTTCCATTTATGGTCGGGCACACCGTCAAATGCAGCTTCAAATCTCTTCGGCGAATTCTGCTCGTCCAAATGGGGAACATCAGTGACCTTTCTGATCCAGATTGCCTGAATCCAATCCGGATGTCTCTTGTAGAGTTCAGAATAGGCCTCTGGATCCTTTTGAGTCGAGTCGCCAATGCAAAGCACCTTTCGCTTGGGGAACCAGCCATGAATTTTCTCTGCACGGTCCACCTTGTATTCCATAGTATTGACAGTGAACGATTTAACCAGCTCGCTCACATCTAGCCAAGATGTATCACGGAGGATCAGGGTTCCCGGGTTGAAATAGGTGTGAATGAAGCCGTGCAAGAACGGATACAGGTTGTATGGAGAAGCAGAAAGGTAAAACCATGTAGGCGTAAGGTCATGTTGGAGCCTGGCATAAAGCTCAGGCATTCCAACGATCGGCTTGGGCTCCTCCACGAAAGTTGTGCGAAGGATACCAGTTGACTCGGAGGTCTTGGTGTACTTGATGGTATCGTCAATGTCGGAAATGACAAGCCAACCCTCCGCACTGGCGTACGTCGTGTTCATCGTCACCTCGCTTGCCCAGCCGCGAAGGTACGAGCGTAGTTTCGTCCCGTCTGTAATGTGGCGACTGTTGACTCCCACCGTTTGGCTGATAATGCCGCTATCATCCGCAGGCCCAAGCTGATGAATTTGGGTCGCATTGTTGGGCAAGGGTGTTTCCAACATCATCAAGTGCGCAGGTGTTGTGTGATGTAGAAATGGCTGAAGTCGCTCCGCTATCCGATGACGAGTCTCTTTATCTGTGCCAATTTCCCCGTCCAGTCCGATGAGGTCTGCAACCATGGCGATGAGTTTACTGAGGTCCTTCCTGCTGTCTCTCTGGAACACACAAGCAACAACTTCTGCCCGCCATAGGTTGAGCTCGGTTGAGCCAGATATCGGTGCCTGGTATGCTGTGTTGTCGAACAGCCAGACGGTATGTTCGCGTTCATTTGCCATTTGTATTGCAGGCGAAGGCTTTGCCAGAAAGGATACTAAGAATTGCAACATGGCTGAATCCCGTTTCCACGCATGAGCCACCTTAGCCACTCGCTGAAGTACTGAAGTGGGTTTGGAGTGTGAGTCGGAGCTCATCTTGGATGTGAGGTGACTCTCTTGAGGGTCAACTATAAATAAGAGGTAGGTTTATTACCGCTAAACTTGATAGATGGAATGTAGCAGTGTAGGTTGTATTCCCAAGCACGAATATTCTGTTTTGAATGCAAAGTATCGCTCAGGACGGTGTCCTAATATATACGGCCACAGAGTGCGCCTGATCTGGAAGACTAGATGGGTCATATCCCGAGCCACAAGGCAGTGAAGCCCTTGGTCAAGTCAAGTAAGCCAACCTGAGTCATTTTTGGGTCAGTCAGTCAGAAGAGTAGACCATAAGGCTGAATGTATCTTGTGGGGTTCCTGGTCGCGAGAACCACACATAAAAGGCGCTTCGACTGCATCGATACAATTAAATTGCCGCTTGGCGCCCGAGTCAGCCTGCAAGGGCTCGTGACCCTATCAGAGCTCGAGGCTCAGCGGCTGACCGCTGGCGATCTTCTCTTGCGTGCCAATGAACAGACCATTTGCCCCGGTCAGATGCAGGGAATGTGCAGGAACTGGAGTAGAGGTCAATCTTGGTCACTGGGCATGTAAGGGATGCCGGCCCGTTGGATGTCGGATCGCTGCCTCCAAGAATAGATTTACTGAGACATCGTACTTAGCGCTCTATTGTGTCTCCGCTGAGTTACGCAGTACGCAGGTTTGGCAAAATCGCCACCATGCATGCCAGCGAACTAGAGATGCGATGAACGTTGCCTTCCATGACTGTTTCGTTGCCTTATGAGTCGTTCGTTGCAGGGTTGCAGTCACAGTAAGGTACGGGATAACAGGGATTCCGTCTCCGCCTGAAACATTATGAGGCAGTGCTATCGCGTATAGTCCACCAAATAGGAACAACACAAGTCTGACCTCGGACTGTTCGAGGAGGAATGAAGTCAGAGAGGAAAGATGATGCGGAGGGAGTACTGGGTAGGTAGTGGAATAAAGTGTGGACGGTACGCGGTACCTATGTACAGTAAGCTCCGACAGAGACGCGGCGCGGTTCGCCGCCCGGGTCAGTGGGGTTACCTGTTTGGGTAATCCGATTTGGCCTTCCCTTCCTTTCTTGGGGACAAGACTTCGCACCGTCCCATACTAAGGCTCCTCAGGAACAAGGCAAGTCGGCAACTTCACCTGCCATCATGGAACTACAACCCATGTCGAACTAGTCAATGACTAAGTACCTTCGTTTCTACTTTCTTCTCAACATATCGGAACGATAAAGCTTGTTACTGGGGTGTTGACATGCGCAACATGCGCAATCTGGGTTGTACACAATCACGTGCTCGCCTATTCTCTGCCGCGTCTCCATATCAATATTGCAATTCACAACCTAGTAGCATGTTGGTTATATGATCATAGCATACTCTAGATCAGAGACTAGCAATTGCCGCCATGCCTGATCATACCGTGTTCCAGAATACATACAACGCGCGTACTGGACGCGTCTATACACGAAAAAAAGTCTCCGATGAGCCCCAACAGCCTAAACGGAAAAAGGCATCGTCTTATTCGAAACTCTTTGATCGCATGCCGATACCCAAACCGAAAAGAATCCACGAGGTTGTTGACCGGAACAGTGGTCAGGTGTACTTGGAGTCTTTTAAGGAGCCTTCCTTGGCCTCTTCCAAGGGTGCGGCCTGGGTCCATGAGACGCCTTTCCTGCCTGAAGGATGGGACAAACAACTCGTTGCACGTGGTGCACCTTCATTGATGCATGCGGCAACGAGAGAAGCTCTGTCGGACCAAAGAAATCTTCGACCCGAGCTGTTTGCTTCCGTGCCATGGCGGCTCGCAAAGTCTCTGTGGGATATACTTGGCCAGTGGTAAGAGGTGCCCATCCTCCCTAAACAGCTGCGAGATCCTAATTCCCTTGCGCTCAAAAGCAACAAACAGACTACATATGCCTGGAAACTATTTGCAACAGCATATCCCGAGGAGTTCGGTAAGATCGCTTCGCACCGTGCCATGAAGGTCGAGAGCCCCCTCATGCCGATGCAGGACTACTTGAGTCTGGTCAAAGGTGACTCGTTGAGCTGGTGCGCGATCTTAACTCTGGCTGCCACACATGCTCGAGTTCCTGATCTCGTAGGCTTGGCTAACATACCCAATCTCATTGCGCTGGAGATTGCCACACCACTGCAGTATGAAGGCATCCAGGACGAGAGCGAGGCGCCTATGGTTGATCTCAATGATCGAGTTGTGCG